ATCCACTAATCGAACACGTCTAATACTGGGAAACTGAGAAAATGCAAACCGCGCCTGCGGTGTTTCAAAATCTCCGCTCCGATTTTATTTAAGAACAAACTGCGCTATTGCTTGAAATTATTTTAGAGTACTATTCACTTCAAGGAGGAAAAATCAGAGAATTTTTCCAGAGATGACACAGAGTATTTCTTTTTTATTATGAAAAAAATTAAATATAACAAAGAAAATTGAAGAAGAAGATAAAAATACGCACATCAGTACTGCCCTGCTAGAAATGAACGTCGTATAAACATTCGAGAGTTCCCAAATTCCCTTCAATGAAACGTTCATTTTCAAGGAAAGTAATGAATATTTTTCCTTGAGATTTTCAGGAGCTTTAAGTGAAATTGCGATCAACATTATCTGAAAAATTTGAAGAAAAATATTTATAATTTTACCAGGAAATTCGGGGTTTAGAAATTGAAATTTAGCAACGCCTAAAGGTTCATACGGCGTTTTCTCTTAGCACGGCACAGTAGGCCTGCAGTGTTGCAAGAAAAGATTTGCATTTTCCTAACTTCACCATCTCCATGGAAAGTTGTTCAAGTTTCTAATCTTAACGTTGTTTATTCAGCTCCAATGCAAAATCATATCCTTCAGGCCCTAAAACGGACTCGGGTAGGAGCTTTGCCTGTCGTTTCAGCCTTTTGACCATGTTATGAACTCTTAAAATATTCAGAAGCTCGCTCACTTGGCAAAGACAGGGGGCCCCATCTTATCAATTATTAGTTGCGGATTTACAACATGCTTGAAAACTGCTAGCTTCCGTTTTCATCTTTCCTCTTTTCCAATCGCTCCGGATGTGAAAGAAGTCGAGAAGTTGCCGGAACGGCGCGGCGCAGCGTATCGTAGTCCCCCATCAGCACTCCACCCTATTCAGCAGCACTGCAGTACCTGCATAACCCTGCGACACTTGAGTGCTCAGAACCTGTCCCCCGGAGTTCTCCTCCTTTTTTTAACGCAACTCTGTTAATGCTCTTCAAAGTGACTTTTTTTCAGGCTATTTTTCTTGTATCTGCGGCAGATTAAGGATTCTTTTTAATCATATTCAGAGATGTCTGACACTTATTTTACACGGAAAAAAAGAGGTAGGGGTTGTTGGATGACTTGGAAATTTTCAATTACTTGTGGTATACCCCGCAATATATTAGGTTACTAACGCAAATGTTGCGGTACTACCCCGAATATTTGTAAATGCTCATATCATCTAAATGGGTCAGTTGCGCTGGTCACAGAATCGTGTTTTGATGCTTGATGGTTGCAGTTGAGCTAAAACTAATAAGATCTGTTTAAACAGCAACTTTCTACGTTCTACGTAACCTTGATATCACGCCTTGAAAAACTTGATTTATGACGTCATCCACCGCGGCAGTACATACCATGATATGCAGAGCCGCGGTATGGATGACGTCAAAAACCGTACTTTTCAAAGGGTGATATCTCGCTTAATGTTGAACGTAGAAAGTTGCTGTTTCGGACAGATCTTATTAGTTTTAGCTAGTCTACGAGAATCAAGCATCAAAACACGGTTCTGGTACTAGCGCAACTGGTCCATTGGGGCCATACCATAATTTTAGGGAATAACCCCTAACACTTTTTCCCCCGTGATAAGTTACTTTCCCTAAAGTTAAAGAAAATCGAAAAGTGTAGGATATACTAGTCGGAGTTAGTGAAATCTGCTATGCCATGGAGGAACGTCGAATGATCACTCGAACGTTGCCAAATTCTTCCGATAAAATCTTTACTTTTGAGGAGGGTGTTGAATATTTTTATTGAAATTTTCAGATATCCATATTAAATTGCAACAAGGCGGAGAAATGGTGCTGGGTCCACACCATTTCGTGGGTAAAACAAAGCCAAGAAGTCCCAAAAATTATAATTAGAGTCAAAAATAATTTTTTTTAACTCTGATTATAATTTTTGGAACTTCTTGGCTCCGTTTCCACCGTGAAATGATGTGGGCCCAGCCCCATTTTTCCACCTTGTTACATACAGTTCGGGCCACTTCTAAGTGTTTTTTTCTCATTTAAATTGCACCTATACGTCTTAGTAAGTCTGAAATTAGAGGAGAAATTAATATTCAAAGGCTTCCTGGTATTTCACCAAAGGAAACTCGGCAAATGCGTGAGGGTTCATACGGGTTTCACCCCTAGCACGACAAAAATGCTCGATGTATGTCCACAACTCGGTCACTTTGTTTTCAGCGTAATGGCGTACCTCCACTCATACTTATCTTGATTCAAACGAGAATGACAATCGGAGATGAGGGTTCCTCCAAGCGTAATTATTGTTTTGCTCCGCTCGTGTTTTGCCGGTCAAAAGCCCCCGGGGTACGGTGTTTTTAGTACTGTGTGATCGTGGTATCGGATGGACCTATCGAAGTAATCCTGCACCGGTAGTATGTCAAAAGTGGTACTGATAACAAACACCAGTAATGACTCCAACAATAATACTACCGCCGCTGACGAAGATGTCGCCATCGCTGGCTTTAATCAGACGCTTCCAACAATTTATAGGTGAGTTGAGCACATCTTCCGGAATGGAAAAGTTGGTCATTAGGGCCACAAAGTTGTTCTCCTGTCAACTTTTACTACTTCAAAGCTGAAATTGTCTTTATGAGATTGTTATCTTTGACTAAAATAGTGTAAGAAAGGTAGGATGGGCTTTAAGGGTATCAAGATCATGTAAAATGGAACTTGATTGTTAGTATATTAAATTCCTCCACGAAATTAAACTCGTGGAGATAGTGGCTAGTTTGGTCATTTTTACATCAAAATGACACGCTCACTTGGTGCACAAGAAAATACGATCTTTTTATCAAACAGGAGGAGGTTACTTAAGCATATTTTCAGTTTGCCTTCAATTCGTAGTGTAAGCAACATGGGTGCCCACGTGGTCGAATAGTGGTATCATTGTAAAATGGCACACTTAATCAGTATTTGATGCTGCCCCTGCAATGTAAGTTGCATTATCTGGATTTAAATTTCACTGCGAGGGCGATGTCAAGCCAGCATCTAGGAATCACCAAACAAATTGTTGACTTTAGGACACTAGTATGTTATCTAGTGGTATTCTAGTATTCTACCATATTATTCTTTTCGGTGTACCTCTTTCAAATGCGGGTTAAATTTATTTGCCCCGGTAGCTCAATCGGATAATTTGGATAACTGCTTACCCCCAACGTTTAACTCAAAATAAGTCCATGTCCCATCACGTCCACCTTCAAACTCGGGTGGATAAGTATTCTAATTAGATTATACAGAAATGTTTCCTTAGGAGCATGCATATTCTCCGTGTACAGTTGGTTTACATATCTGAAACAGCGGAGGTCAATTTCAAAATTGTTTCAATTTGAAGCGCCTCCTTTTTCTGCTGATGCTCAATGCCTCGTCACGCAGTCTAGCTGCCTAGTTGACCTGAAATCAGCAGAATGAACCGAGATGAATACGTTTTCATAAGAGATAACCTAAATTAAAACAAGATTTCGACTCTGGGCGCCTTCAATTTCACGCGATGCTGCAAACCTAGCCTCGAAGTTAGTTTAGTTGCCTATTTTAGTAGTGCTCGAATGAAGACACCGAAATAAAGATCTCGAGCTAAGAGATTATAAGAAAACGAGATTTCACCTCGGGTGTCTTCATTTTGTTGTGCCACTATTCAAAGGATCTTTTTAATCATATTTCTAAAAATATCAAAAATGAAATACCGTTCATGTAGGTATACTCTAAATCAGCAATGAAGAAACATTCCACCCTTCTTGTAAAAAAAAGGAAACGCATGGATATGTGGCAACTTTCTCTCGTAAACCGTGAAGCGCATTTTTATGATGTTCTCATCACAAGACCTATCTTGCTGAAAACAATGACTGCTATTCTCATGACGGAAGTATTTTCTTGCTTTTTATTCGATTCTATTGAATGGAAATAATACTTTTATCAGGACAGCGGTATGCTTGGTTTCAGGAAAGTGCTATATTTCATTGCTAAGCGTTTAATAGCTTCACAAACCGATTAATTAACGAAAAATTTCATTACTAAGTACATAGTAAAAGGTCTTTTTTATTGTTGAAAAAAAAAATAGTCTGTTTTTCGTAACGCCGTTCTGAGCCACCTTTTCTTTCTTTGTGGCGATCATAAAATCTTCTGCCGTAGATGCACTTATCTCCTGGTGCTACGGTGTTGATGGATGTAAGATTTAGATGCATTTTAAATCGTAGAGAGGAGGAAGATGGAAGTTTTCCACTCAAATTATCTCTTATGCTTCTCACGGAATAGTAAAGAAACTAAACTTAAAGAAACTTAAAGATACTCTGCGTGAGAACTGTAGTTCTCATGCCAAATTCTTTATGAAAAGGAGAGCTCTATAATTATCACCAAAACTTTTTCATCATAGTGTATATTTGCATACACATTCTTTCATATTTCTGACTGGCTTGCTTCGAAAACATCCCAACTCGGAAAAAAATTAAAATTGCCTCTAATTGTAAGCGCGGAAAGATGGTATGCAGGTAGGGTTATGCGCGTCTTTTATTTTGCCCTATTTTCCCCCATCTTACACACCTTAAATATAGGCGCGAATCTTGTTTGTTTCGAGAAGAGCTCAACTGAAAAGTTTTAAATACACCACGCTCGTATTGAACTATTAAAGGATCACAAAGTTTCATATTTTAGGTTAAGAGGCTCTTTTTAGGAACTGAATACTATACGCCAAAAACATTTTCCATTCACCAAAAACATTTCGACTGAAATATTTATATTTTTTTTTTCGTTTTCTGCCTTATATTCATTTTAAGTCTTTTGTTTTTGTTTTGAGACAGGCAAGTAAATGAAGCCGGTTTGCCCGCTGTAGAACTCTAAAGCCTACTGAAATACAAACGAACCAAACGCATACCTTTGCTATTGTTTCGATGACTGCTTCAATTTGAGCAGATAAATTTCTCATGATAATTTATTTCCCTGCAGATGCCGTGCACCCATCGCGAGCTTGGATTGCATGGAAGAGTTCCAAAGCACCGCCGAGCAACTGTGCCTCCAGCTGACGTCAGGAGGGCTCCAGGGATACACCACACCTACATCCGTATCCAGGCAGACCTCAGTCGTTACACCCGGGTTACGCTATCGAAATCTAGGCAAGAGTGGTCTCAGAGTATCGAGCGTCGGTTTAGGTAAGTCTATAAAATAAAACTATAATGAAATAAAATAAAGTGAGAGTACCGCTCTCAGTAGTAGTTTACAATGGAGATGTTGCATGTGTGAGGGATCTGCGATTTGACTGTAATTTCTTATGTAAAAGTTCGCGAGAAACACGATGGTGCCACTGGTTTTCTCTGAAATCATCTCCCAAGCTCAAAAAAAGCTCTCAAAGTGAGTCCAAAATGGAGGGGATATCCCGCCCTACCCTGAGAGTCCACCTCTACATCAAAACAAACTCTCCATGCAAAGATAGAACTATAGGAAGATAGGACTCCAAAACTGAAAACACGGCAACCCTGCTAATGTATTTGCTCCCTATCTTTGCATGGACAGTTTGTTTTGATGTAGAGGTGGACTCTCAGGGTAGGGCGGGATATCCCCTCCATTTTGGCCTCACTTTGAGAGCTTTTTTGAGCTTGAGAGATGATTTCAGAGAAAACCAGTGGCACCATCGTGTTTCTCGCGAACTTTTACATAAGAAACAACAGTCAAATCGCAAATTCCTCACGCATGCACTACCTTTATTAGTTCAGAGGAAATGTCCCGTATTGTTTTGGACGGCATTAACCTGCGAAGAACATGCTTCATATTGAGCACCCTTTCGAAGACGCGTCGCCGAGAAAACCATTTGGTGTCCAAAAATATCTCTATCGTCGCGGCCACGATACCGATCGCGATCGCAATACGAAGTCCGTGCACCCGTCATAAGCAATCGAGATCTTGGGCGCGACAAGAGGGATATTTTTTAGTATGCCATAAACATATTTCTGTTAGTTACGTGCATTGTTTACTAAAAAAAATTACGGAATAAGCTCCTTTGGGAGTAACAAAAATAGGGGGTCTTTATGAACAAAAAGACGGAGAAATACCTCAAAAATAATTCACATGTATCGAAAGTCTATCAAAAGTTCATGGTTTATTGAAAGAGACCGATGAAACCACAAAAAAGCCACCAGGAACGAATTAAATAGGTACTATTCCCTTGTAGAGCAAATTATCCCAACATGCCCTCCAGACAAAGCATTTTCATGTCAAGTAAAGAGCGAAAAGCCACTTTTCGGTTTCTACAGCTAGCTCACTCCTATTCTGCCTTGCTATAAGGAAGAACGCCGTATGAACATTCGAGAGTTGCCAATTTTCCTTCGATAAAATGTTTGTTTTTGAGGAAAGCTATGGATATTTTCCTTTGAAATTTTCAGAAACTTTAGGTGAAATTACGAACAAAATTTTCTGAGAAAATTGAAAGGAAAATATACACAAATGTCGTACCAGGAGATTCGAATTTTATCAAAGGAAATTTGGCAACGCCTGAAAGTTCATACAGCGTTTCTCCTTAGCACGGCAGTATTCCAAAGTTATTCGTTCATCCCCTCTTCCTCGTTTGCGAACGGTTATGTAGGTTAACCTTTTCATCTTTACTCTTTTCCTCTCACGGGTAAGGTTGTGCGGGCCTGCTTCTGAAAGCTTTTGATTAATAGGTGGTTTAGAATCTCCTCTTGAGATAATGCCCCTCCGGTAATGTCGACGAACTCACAAAACGAATCCAACCCTTAATTTTACACTGCTTACCCCAAATGTTTTCCTTCTTCCTTTCTCTTTGTACCTTTTTATTTCAAAATCAAGCATTTTAGTCGAGATCAGTGACGGATGTAGAGTTATACGCATACATCTGTTAAAATAAACATGACATTAGTTTTTGCCATTGAGTTGAAAACACGTCAAGCATTCAATCGTAGCCTATTTGAGTTATTTGCAGATCAAAACAACGGTAATGTAGCATCGCGTCCATGATATTGGACTCCATGCTCAGCTATATGATATTCGGTTACTCATCACGTCCAAGATCTTGGACTCCATGCTCACTTTAATTAGGGATAATTTTTTCGAAAAATCGAAGTGAGCATAGCGTCCAAAATTGTGGGACGCAGGTATTCTCCGACAAAATAGGAGCATGGGGTCCAAAAATTTATTAAGACAATTTTGGTGAAATGAAGACAAAAAAAATGTGTTCTCGAAAAAAATTGTGCATTGCTTAGGTTGGGTTAGGTAAGGTTGGGTTAGGTAAGGTTGGGTTAGGTTAGGTTAGGTTAGGTTAGGTTAGGTTAGGTTAGGTTAGGTTAGGTTAGGTTAGGTTAGTTCAGGTTAGATGGGATAAGCGAAGTATACGATTTTCTATCATGATGAACTTTAAAACTAAGAGAGGTCTACTTGCTTTTGGACTCCATGCTCAAGCAAAGAAGTGAGACGTTTAGCGATGAGCATGGAGTCCAAGATCTTGGACGAGATGAGCAGGTAAGTATATCAAGGATGAGCATGGAGTCCAATATCTTGGACGCGATGCTACATAATCAAAACAACCAGCATTAGACTTGGCAAGATTCCCGCTTACATTTTATTATATGTGTTGATTTGTTTTTTTCAAAATCTGCCAGAATAAAATTTGATTTAGATCTCTCGAGTGTAGAGAAAAGGACAAAAATAGTGCGTTTAAAGATAAACATTGTGGAGAAATTAGCAATGATCGTCGATCGTGCATCAGCAACTTCAAAGACGGATAATTCAATGTAAATTCTATATCTACATAACAAACCAAATTAGCAGAAATTGTAAATAATGAGGCTGCCTAAAATTTAAAACATAAAATAAAGTTAAATTTTAATCAGAGGTAAGTTAATTTAAGGATTCTCCTTGCACCCTCTAATTAGGGTGTTAAATTGATTATTGGCTTGATAAATAGTGATTGCTATGGTACAGCTTTAAGCTCAAAGGTCCGTGTAAACACCCTCCCCACTGTCTCTCACCCCCCACCCTTCACGCCTCCCTTTTGTAGCCGTCCACCCCTCCCTCTCCCTTTCTCACGTCTTTATCCCTCCCTCTACCTTCCTCACCCCTTCATCCCACTTCCCACTCTTTCGTTTTTTAGCGGGGAATTAAGATGCTGAAAATACGAAATGAAAAATACCGCGCAATTCAAAGTAGTTACCTTTTAAAACAGATTAACTAATCCTGACCGCATTTCATAGCCCGCACGGAGATGAAAAAACCATGGGAGCGGTTGAATTTTTGATAAAGGCGTATTACTGCGAAATGGCAGCTTTGCGGTGGCTCCGGAGTGAAAAAGAGGTTTGACAGCGGTGAGCAGGGGGGGGGGGGGCTGGAAGGGGCCCAGCGAGTAGGAGAAGGGATTTTCCTTGGTGCAAAACCGAGATTAACCAGCCGGGAACCGCTAATTTGGGGAGCCGGGAGTTAATGTAGCAAAAGAGATAATGCTCTCCAAATGCCTTCACATTGGTCTCCCGAATTCCCGATTCCCTGGAACCTGCCTTTTCCGGACGGGTTGTCTCTCCCTCATCCATCTATCCCAAATCTCCTGTACGCTTTCCACGACACCGACACTATAGGATTAATTGAACTCATCTCGGAGTTGCCTCATTGTTCCATCACATCCCTTTGATTCGGAGCAATCCAATCGTTAAACTCTCAGAGAGGAGGGCCTCACAACATATCTCCCGCATAATGGGGTTCTTACATGATTTTAGAAACGTCAATTCGATATTAAGCTCATTCATAACGTCGCTCCTTTGGCGCACAGTGGATCAAGTCAATTCGGGAGGTCGGACAAAATTTTGAAACCTTAAACGCTTATAGCACCGTTTATACAAAATTTTAAGGTTCTAATAGTGGTTCCATTGGTTTTCTCGTGACATTTTCTTCTTGAAATACCCCTTGAAATGTAAACTGTGACGAAATGATCTCCAAAATTTGCAGTTTTCGTGAAAAATTTCATGTCCGACCTATCTAATTTACTCAATCCACTGTGTGGCGTAACGGCGTATCCACATTTCCACTTGAGCCCCGGAGAGCGTAGAGTTATATGGAATACAGGGCTCACGAGGTAATTAGGGTAGTAATGGTTAAACTCCCAAACCTCGTTCCTCTTTAGCGGTGTTTAAATATCTCCGCTCCTGTATTATTTTTTTGAAGGAGAACAAATCAAAATCACTCCTCGAGGTTTTCTCAGGATTTGTCTCACACAGAGAGGACAAATCTCAGAACTTTTAAACGATTTGACGTCAAGTAGTTCTCCATTTGAAGAATAGGTAAGTATGATCAGGAGAACTTTGGAGGCACTCAGTTTTCATGTGAGAATTTATGTTAACAGGAACTTGGGTTACTTTTGGTGGCAATGTGTCTGAAGAGCAAGCAGAATCTGTAGTCGTGGCAGCCTATGACGCCGGAGTCAACTTGTTCGACATATCTGAGGCACACAGTGGAACCAGAGCAGAAATTGAACTCGGAAATATTTTGCAGAAGAAGAACTGGAAAAGGCATACATACGTTGTAGCTACCAAAATATACTGGAATGCAAAGTAAGTTCTTTTTTTTCTTCCCCGGAAGCTTAACTTGAAAGCCTTCTTCTTCATCCTGGTAAAAGAAGTTAGGATCTACTGAAATGGAAAAGGTAAACGCAAAGTAAAAATGTCCGTCATTTCAGCGCATAAATACACAAATCATACTGAGTACCTATCCTGGTAAATTGAATCGGCTCGTGCAAAAATGTCCGATGTCCAAAACTGTGTCTCAGAATTTGAGTGGACAATTTTATTCAAGGCCGGATTTACCTACTTGCCGCCCATGGGTTGCCTGTATTTTTCCGCCCCCTTCTCATTTCTTTTAAAACATCAACAGATCGTATTCGACAGTGGTTCGATGTATCGTTTGGTTCAAAATAATATAACATAACTTCAAACAAAAATTTTAGGATTTAATTTGGAAAAGCTGAAAATGAGAAAATTCCTTAAAATTTTATTTTTCATTGCCATTTGGTACTCGAGAGAATAAAAATTCGATCACATAAGACCCGTTACCTCAGATTTCTAAATTGAATTTTGAGGCTGTGGTTACATATTGAACCAATCGATATCAATGTAATTTCACCTGAGTGATGTGTCGAATACGATCTATAAAGACCATCAAGTGAACGTGCCGGTGGGGGAGGGGTGTATGAGACGCGTTTATTCGTGTTGGGCACGGTTTTTGTGAAAGCCCTGTCAACACTAACAACATTTCAGTTCCGTAAACCCATTCCTGTATGGACAAGGCCTTCCATTTATAAAAAACGAACGAAAAAATTATGAAGGAACAAACATAAATGTGATTAAAAATTTCAACTTCCACCGCCGCGCCGAACGCACTGCGTTGGCGCAATGCGTGAAGTATTCATGCAGTCTTGTAGGCGCCATGCGTTTCACGCCGACCGCTGCTGACCACGCTGTTTGGCGCAATGCGTGAAGTATTCATGCAGTCTTGTAGGCGCTATGCGTTTCAAGCCGACGCGCGACGACTGCTGCTGACCGCAGTGTGTTTGACGCAATGCGTGAAGTATTCATGTAGTCTATGACACTATGCGTTTCAAGCCGACCGCTGCCGCCCCGCTACATTCCAGGTTAAATTGCGTGTTCGGTTTCTCTCTTAACTCGACTATTTGAAGATGTTGTCTCTTGTATCACCGAAAGACGACAATATTAGAAATTACTATACATTTACTCTCAGGAAATGAGAGATTTTGTCGCCTGTTTTTCGTTTGTAATTTATTCTGTGAATCCTATTTTTTTTCTTTCTTTTTTTGATACCTAAATACATTCAAAAAGATTGCAAAATTTGCCGCCCCCTACAATTTGCCGCCCCCTACATTTTGCCGCCATGGGCCGCAGCCCATGTGGCCACTCCCTTAATCCGGCCCTGATTTCATTGGTACAAGATGGTTTAAGACATTAGGAATGTTATTAACAATGATGTTACTAGGAATGACGTTAACAATGGGTCAGTTGCGCTGGTCACAAAATTGTATTTTGATGGTTGTTTCTTGTAGTTTAGCTGAAAATAATAAGATCTGTCCAAACCGCAACTTTCTACTTATAACAGTATGAATAACCATCACAAAATCAGTATTAAATAATCATATGATGCATCGCATTCAATACCACAGCCTATAGTATTAAGATGAGCTTTAAATTCAAATTATGCGCTTATTTGAATAATTTAGACAATTTCACAGGTAATTTCATATGAATTATTTCTTTATCGTTCCATCACTGTCTCTATCTTTTATGAGTATTCAACTTTATTACCGAGGAATTAAGAACGCATATTTTCTCTGATCGTAGGTCAGAAGAACGAGGCCTGTCCAGAAAGCATATTATATCATCCGTTCAAGCTTCCCTAGCTAGACTAAAACTTAGTTACATCGACATAGTTATAGTACACAAATGCGATCCAATGTGCCCAACCGAAGGTAATTCAACTTTTACTTGGCATGACAATTATTACAATGTTTTTTAAAGCGAGAAATTAGGAAGGATAGACTGAAACACAGCTTTTAACTCTTATCCAGCACATAAACCACTCTTTTTTGTATGAATTTTTTACTTTACTTATTAGATATAGAATTAGGAGGGCGATAAATCATTTTGGAATAATTAATTATTATCATCAAAAATTGCGCATTAGATATCGATGGCTAAAAAGCGGAACTATATACGTAGCTCCGTTTGTGGTGTTTCAAACTCCTTGTCATACTTCCCTTTTTCTTTGGAGAACTGGGCAACTTATTTTCTTGAAAACCTCTTTGAATTGCCTCTCGGTCGACAGAATATTTTGCACGAATTCCAAATCATAAAAATGCCTTGTCTTTCCTCGAAAAAATAAAGTAAGGGCGAAAATTTTGAAACATTTCATTGGACATACGTGATTTTGTACTCTAGCCATCGATATTCATTTTGGAAAGAGGGATTGTCTGAACAAATTGAAGTGATTGATCGAAATTACTGAACTGTGCGCGACGAAAGAAGGTTTGTTGGTTGAGTTCGTGACTGAATTTTCTAGTGGTTGCAAGAGAACCCAAGTGGCATGGGGTGCATTACGATAAATCGATTGATCTACCATTTAAAGCAATGGAAAAGGGTCGATAGGGTGTTCGTGACGAACACCTTAATAATCGATTCCATACCACAACTTCAAATGGGGAAATATCGATAATCGATCATTCACGCCTTGCCACTGGAGGGAACATTCCTTTATTACCGACAAATCCTCGCTCTGCGCTTTTCGAAAAGTCAAACACAGCTGATGTCCTAGTGTCAGGAACATTCAATTCAATTGAAAAGTTTCTTTTTTTAATTTCCTTTTTAATGATATGCCAGTCAGTGCAAAGTTAGCCACTCCCCTTTTAACAATCAATGAAAGGAATATCTTTCGAGCCCCCAATAAGTGTTACATCGTTAGTATATGAGATGACAAAAGAAACTGATAAGCGAAATTAGGTCATTTTTTTGACGGTGCGTCTCGTCCAATCAATTAGTTTGCCCTTTCTGAATAAACTTAAATTCACAATCAATAGAGTCATCTCTTCTGTTATTGTAGCCTTCGTTATGACAACTAGAGAACCTTTATAGGGAGAGTATAGACAACTCGATTTATGTAGCTCCTAGGGACCAAAAGGGCGACAACGTGTAAAACGAAAATCACTAGAAAAGTGCCGCTGACAACCTATGCACTTGAAAGATTAATGAATATGGCCAACAGCGCATTGTAAACAAGCGTCTAAAAGGATTAAGACTTTGAAACTGAGTAAATGTATGCGAAATCAAAGTTGTATACGTGTTTTTATGATTTTTGATCAGTATTCCTGCTGTCACAGTTTATTTTTGTGAAAATTAGTACCTATGGATAATTCGAGTTCATAGGTTGATTGCCCTTTTGGGCCCCAAGAGCTACATGACCTGATCAAACCTAATCTCCAAATTACTGAGTTGTCCATATTTATAGGGAGAGTATACTCTCCCTATAAAAGGTACTCAAATAACAACCGTTGACTAAAAGACCATTTGATGAAAGTATGAGCTGACATTCAGTCACTAAACCAAATGTACCATGAGTAAATAGGTTGAAGATTTTTGCATGTATGTTGTTGACCTAAATTCGTCTTTATCTCATTTTCAGAGATCGTGAGAGCGATGACGCACGTCATAAGTCAAGGCTGGGTCATGTATTGGGGCACCTCCAGATGGAGTCCTGTCGAAATCATGGAGGCGTACACTAACTGCCGGCAGTTCAACTGCATCACGCCAATTATCGAACAAACGGAATATCACATTTTCTGCAGAGAGAAAGCTGAGCTTTATTTGCCTGAGCTCTACAATAAAATAGGTATTCGCATTTCTCCGTGTACACCTTGTGCAATACTTTATGTCGAAGGGAAAAAATGAGTCGTACCTTTCTTATTAGTATTGTGAATGTATGGTAAAGCACTGTACCAGACATGTCAATATTTTCCAAAGTCCACAAAAAAAACCATTAGCTCGACAGAAAAGACAATTTAATCCTGAGACTGGCAGAAAATTGTCAGCAGTTAGGTAAAATAAGATGGGGACAATTCGCATGATAACGTCATTTGTCTTCCATTAAGTAAATTTAACGCCTGGTACCACGTCAAAAAAAAAAAACTACAAGATGTTTTAAAAAGTATACATACCAAGACAAACCGTACTGTAACCACTAGTATTCTTTTCCTCTCTTATCTTTGCTCAATGATTTCAAATGTCTAGAGGCCCATTTTCATCTTAATCTCACAATATATGAATGCTTTATTATGATCCAGTACCTCAATCACTTCTTAACTCGGTTGTTCCTATTTTCACAATCATTCCTGACAAGTAACACAAGTTTTGAGCTTACGTTCATTACTTTAATTACTGCATGTCTTTCATTTTTTCGAGTTCGCCTTCAATAACCGCGATGGCAATATGTGCGGCTTGAAAACACGAACAGTTGTGCACAATGGTTTTGCCACTTTCGATCGGTCTCGGCAAGGAGTACGCCAAAAATATTCTGACTATTTCGTTCTTACTTGACCTCTATATGTATGTATCTCCCCCCTTATCTCACTGTAATTCTGGAAATCGTGTAAGAGACTTTTTATTCTTAATTTTATTGATATTATGAATCTTCGTTAGTTAGAAAATAAAAAAAGAATCCCTTAATGATCGATCAGAGACAAGATACCCCCCACTGGCCTCCTAGCGACAGGTGGAAGCTTTTACTTTCGGGGTTTCAACAATTCCTTATGGACAGTTATTAGGGAGCAACAGTCATCACCTTAATATTGGCTAAAATTGGCTACATGGTCGATGATGAGCTTCGGGTGACGTCATGAGCCAAAAAAGTTTCCCAATCGTCGGCCATTTTCGGCTTGTTTGTAAAACGAAACTGCCAACACGTTGTTGAACATCAACCATGTAGGTAAGTTAACAGTAGAATGCTGAAGTCCCGAAAGTAAAAGCTTCCACAATGGCCGAGATACTAGTGGAGGGTCTCTTGTCTCTGTGATCGATCAATACATGGTTAAAGGGAAATCATTTTTTTCCCCTCGATGGAGTAAATTTATTCTAAAGACCAGCGTTCTTGCATCTCTCGGTAGATTATAATGATTATAATCAGATGTTGTTTTACAGGAGTCGGTCTTATGGCATGGTCACCTATATCGATGAATCTCATTTCTGGTCGAGGAGAGGAAAATACTGTTGGTTGCCTTACCAAACCGTCCTTAAAGGTGAGCTTTCTTCTAAGTAACAATCTTAGAAAGTAGCAAATTATTCATTAAGTAATATGATTGCCCTGTCGGAAAAGAGAGAAACATGGAATGTGGTAAAAATTTGAGACCTCGAAGGGATCTTCGATGATGTAGTGAACTTCAACATCAACACTTAGGCGGAGAGAATCTTAGGAGTCCTACGACATTATTTGATTCAGTATGAATGATGAAAGCGCATGTGCGTATTGCGCGTAACGGATCTGGTGAACTTATCTTGGTTTGGTCGCGTGTGGTATCAAGACGTTTTGAAGGCGATTTGAGTTTCTTCCTCTACTAGTTTTGATGTAGGTAGGAGTGCGTGGTGCTGTAGTTGATACATATTTCTATTTACCTCAATTGATGTTAGAATTGAATATTAGGGTAGCAAATAGTGAACTAGATTAGATGAAAAAAGAAACTTATGGATGTTATTTTTACTAATTAAAAACTAGTACAACATCGTATAGATACATTCACTGGAATCAAGCGAGAATCTTGTTATATCTTCAAAGGGATGTTTCTTTCACACAAAGGCCTCCTCTTCCCGTCCTATAGTCCAAAATAACCAATCCATTTTATTGATCTCTATGGCAAAATCTACCTGGAGATTCACTAAGTTTAAAATTGAAACCGCACAAATCTGAAATAATGCAATCGCGTAAGAGTTTCGAGTTCGCGCCGGGTCTGAAGTGAGACTCTCGAGTTGATGAGCCGCAGGGAAGGTCTAAGAAAATGCAATTCTCGAACAATTTGAACAGAATGAAAAATAGGAATATCACTATAAGCATCTCGTAAATATGTGACTCCTTCCCGATTTTCAATTGTAGAATTCTGACCTTAATTTCATAATGTTTGTTTCAGCAAAAATACGGGTCATTCAGTTGGGTAGAGGATGAAACGACATTAATGAATAAGGATGTAAGCAATGGAGTTATTTCATACATTCATTTTAATCGAATCAGATGAAAACCTATGTTGATGAGTACATCTTTCCAAATTCTCTTAAGTTGATTGCCCGTGATAATTGCACAGATCATTTTAAAGAAATACGGTTTTTATTCCACCCATAATGAGCAGTCATTCACCTCTATCATTTACAGCTAATGCATTCTATAATTACCGAGATCATAATTCCAACGTTTCCCCTAATTATGAAGGTATCCAAAACAAATTAATACGCACAACTTAGTTGAGACTCGAGGAACGACAATTGAGTTTGATAGGCACATTTGAGAAAATGAGAATTCTGTAATGGAGCAACACACGACCAGATTAACAGTGATACTAAACAATACATGATATTCTTCCTCATCAGTTCTGCAATCTGTATGAACGCACGTTATTTGCTCCACTTTCACAACAGGAACACGACAATAGATGCGAGTGCAAAAAAGGGCATCTCAAATGATGATGCTGAAAATTTTATGGAAAATGTGGTTGTTTGGGATAGATACTATTTAAATGTTCGATAGAAGTAATATTAGTAGTAGTTTAGGAGTATTTGTTGTTTTAGTAGTATGTGGCAAAAAGCTTGTCATTCTGCGGCATGGTCGGTTCTGTTAATAGAATTAAATAGAGTCCCTTTATACCGAGAGTCAAGACATAAGGGATACATTTTTGATTGGTTCCTGTATTTTAGGCCTATATGGTGTCGCAGACCGGAGTGAAAGTTACATTTTTACTGGTTGCAAAGATTATAAACTGGAACTGGAGGTGACCGGGAAACTATATGGATACGTCAGGGAACAAACGGAATGAGAGAAGGAACAAAGGAGAGGAATCCGGGGATGAGTTGATCAAAGATTATGAAAAACGTTCAAACTGTGCAATCTTTATTCAGATGTGTGACATTTTTGAGCCGACTTGTCTTAACTTTCCTTGTAAAGGGACTCTAGAATTGAACATTTGTAGAATTTTTTGTAGCGGCTTTATGCATTTTTGTTTTCGTCTTGTCTTGTCTCGTCAATTTAAATTACTGACCAGAATTTTCGGAAAATACAGTATCAGGGGTATTTTCAAAACTGAAATTTGAGTGGAAATTCCCTCTTTCCCATCCTTGCTCCCATCTTATTATTTATTAAATTATTCAAACATTTATTTTAAAAATATCGGTATTCATTTGTTTATTTATTCATTCACGAATGGTGGAATTTCTGCTAGCATTTTTCATAGTTGGACTATCATTGTAAGCTTTGCGATCAAAGTACATTTGAAATTCCGAGTTAGGCTTGATAACCGAGAATTCTTAAATGTCTTGCAATTCATAGACACCAGATTGACCCATTGGTTGCATCGTGTAGCTTTTTCACCAACCCCCGTTTACTATCTTAACTTTATTTGCTGCATCTAGAGTACCTTTATGCGGAAAATGTGGCTTTTTTAAATTATCTATGTACTTCTGATTTGTTCAGTCATCTGAGGCTGCATGTAGCTCTTAGGACAAAAAAAAAGAGAATATGCATGCAGAAGCAACAAAAGAGCATATGATGAGGTTAATTTTGCTGGAATTGCCGTGAACATAACTCAAAAACACGATTAGCCGCATTTACTCAGGTTTAAAACCAATTTTATGCATTGCATTTGAAAAGAAAAAGTTCAACTTGAACCTCATAATGGCAAAGTAGGTGATAAAATTAGCAGGTCCCAAGCGTTAATGGCTGATAACAACTCCCTCTCACTCTCTTCCCTCTAGAATCGCCAACATTTTTTCCTCTTCTTTTTTCTTATTATTATCCTAAAAGTGTCCATGAGGTCCAGTACCCATACTCTCTCCACATATAGATACTCTAGCTGCATTATGGAGGATTGCAAATTGTGCATGCGAGTGAGAATTAAAGTGCTAGAGAAAGAGTGAAATGTAAAGCGACAGAAATTTTAAGGTTCGAATTCTTTCACTGATATTCTTCTGAAAACAATGTGCCTGTATCGGCTATATTACTGCAGGAGCGGACTCAAGTAGAGGAGATGCAAAAACAGAGGGAGAAGTTGAAAGAAATTTCCACTCTAGCGTCAAGAATGGGATGCTCCTTAACTCAACTAACAATCGCCTGGACCTTGAAACACGAAAGTGTTCAGTGCCTCCTCATCGGTGCTTCCACGCCACAACAATTCTATCACGCCCTCTATAGTTTACAGGTAGGCTTCACGCAACAATTTTAGTTGAAAAATATTCAGAACCTTTTGAGAGTTTCAAGGTTTGTCTCCATTGGAGCCTTCTAAAGGATCATTTAATGCAAAATTGATGTACAACGTTTGTTTTTACGCACATCGGAACGTTTTAGTGAGGTGTCCTGAAAATTATGCACTCAATCAGTCCATTTGTACTCAATGATTTTCCTAACATTTTTTTGAAAAGGAAACACGATACGTATTCTGGGGTTTCCTTAAAATTAATAATCCTAGATCAAAATTAGCATATATTTTTAAGACACTACAGTAAAGTTGCATTAAACTTACGGTTTAACCGGAAAAAAGTGTTAGGGGGTTGTCCCCTAAAATTGTGGAACTATATACCAAACTTCTGTTGGATAACATGGACATTTCCAATTAATTGTGGTTGTGCCACAACTCAAGTTGGCGTAGCATCCAAACATAATTTTATTGAGAAGTTGCAGACATTCCTGTAATACTGGAATGTCTAAATAGAGAAATGACGTTTACTAGTATTCTTGGAATACTATAGTCAACGTCATTCCTGCATTGTAATGCATGTAATTTTTCGAAAACTTTCTTGATTTTTTTTCTCTGCTAGCGGGACATATTCTGTATAAATTATTCGAGCTATGAAGTTCGCTCGTAGTCCTTCAATGTATAATAAAAGAAGGAACACAAATTTTGAAACCGGTGTCGCACCTTGGTCATCAATATACTATTAAATTAATTCCTACCGTCTGTCTCCTTGTTTGTTCAAATCGCTTAATGCCCAGATATGTAAACGTTTGCGCTATTCCTCTTGTAAATTTTTGCAAAGTTGGATGTCTGCACTGTTTCCCTCCGAAAAATAAAATAGGATCGGAGTTTTTGAAACATTGCAATAGAGTTACGTGGTTTCTCACTTTGGCGATCGATATGGTATTATTAACAATATGCTGTGCTTTTACTGCATACTTATGTTGGTTGATTATTTACAAGTCACAAGCTTGTATACTAAATATATTTTTTTTTCATTTGCAGTTGGTTCCAAAAATAAATGCCACAATCATGAGTGAGTTGGATAAAATTCTGGAGAATAAACCTGTGAGGCCGCCTATGATATCCACTCTTGCGCTCAGATGACAAACAATGTGCCCCCCGGGCTCAAGCCTGGGCGGGCTGGGTGACATGTCACCCAAAGAAGAAGAAAAAGAAAACAAAAGTGTCCCTTTCTGCACAATTCAGTGACAGTACGAGAAAGGGGGAGACCCTGTTTAAACTTATCAGGTATTCACTGTTCAAATCAGTTTCTTGCGCTTCATTTTTACATCGAGGAAGAATAAATAAGTACAGACGGAAAAAGTAAAAAGTATATCATATTGTTAGTTCAAGATTTTCAAGATTTCAAAATTTTCTTCAAGAAATGTACATTAAAAAATTTTATTTATACAACCTTCCATCCACTCAGGTTAGACCTCGTGCTAGGTGGGATCTGTTATAGACTTACATTAGTACTTGTGACGTATAATGATTTCCACGATACTTATACTAAACTGATTATACCAAACTCTAAAAAGAAATATAAAAGTTAGAGAAAGAGTAAGAAAGAAAAAACGAGAGAAATTTGTCTATACCCCTTCCAAAACCCTATTAACCCTTTCACCTTACCCCGTCTACTGTTCTTCCTTGATTCAACTTGAATTGAATGGTGACTTAGGAAAGACATTTGAAGATTTTGAGACTTTGAAGAACAAAGAGAAGAAAAGAAGGGAAAAAACAATACTTCGAAAATAACAGAGGTTCAGAAACTATGAGACACATGGACGTATATGATAGAGCTAAAGGAAATGTTAGACTGATCCCTACACAGCGCACAGCGCACAGCGAGGCGGCAGCACAAGCTGTGTATGACTGCGAGCCATGAAACTCCTTCATTTCAAACCGACGCAACAATGCGCCGGAGAGTTGATATGGCTGCATCACACCAGGAGTTTCTTAACACCTCTAGAATTCGCCAACAGCTGAAGTTTCAGAGTACAGTATCATCAATAATATGAAGTTATTATTTCTATTTTCTTTCTCTTTTCACTTTTTCTCCGTTCACTTTTGTGCTGCTCAAGGTATGACAGGAAAATTTGCGACATTTGCTAGGACACAAAAACTTGCTGACCACAACCTGGAGGCAATTTAGAAAAAACTAATGACTAATTAAATTTTTTGAACTTTTGATCATAAAAATTATTCAAGTACTTTTCTATGTAAAACCAGGCATTAAATGCATTTATAATCTTCCTAAAAATAATGAAAAGTTCATTGTTTAGAACTTCTCAATAGTCTTATAGGACTTTAAGATCATTCAAAAGGTGTTCTTCATTTAACGTTTTATTCAATTTTTTGTTTCAGTGTTCAAGAATGCTCTATCTCTCTGTTTCTATATCTCTCTTTCTCACACACACATACACACACGCAACAAGCATCTCCTTCAGAATCAGTATCTACTTTCATTCATTACATCTAACAATAATTACTCAGCTCCGTCTTTTCACATTAAATCTTATATTCTGCATCATTTTTACAGTTTCTTTAGGAAATTTACCATATCTCTAGATTTAAGTTCAATCGTTTATTGTATCAATATACCTCCATAATACATCAAGCTTTCTGATGATTATAATAAAATATTAAGGCCTTAAAAATAAAATTAATATATCGATGGTTTAGCGAAAAATGCGTACCTCCGATGCAAGTTTAAATTGTTTTAAAAAGAAAAGATGAAGAAACAACTAACCTCTTTTTAAAATCGTTCATGAGTTTAGTTTATTCATTCAAATTATACTCACAGGGAATAATTTTAAGGAAATATTTGAATTAGCCTCCTGTTAAAGAAAGGAAACATAATTGATGGGTTGAGGTTGCGAGGGAGATACGCATTCCGGCTTTGACCATCCATATATCTCATCCTAGGAAGTGAGTTTGGAATTGGGAAATAATTTGTTTTTTTTATGAATGCGAGAAATTTTAATAGGCCTTAACACAAGCGAGGGGGATGTGTCCATAAAATTCATTAGGTAGGGTGTATTTAATGCTAACTGCCTGGACCATGTTACTCAGTGGGTCGATATTTCAGTTTACAAAAAAGTAAAAATTGTATTCGCCATGAAATTTGAAAGAAGGATATAATAATTAATATCCTCTGGTAACTGAAAATCTGCCTGCATCTTTTTTTGATGCTTTAGAGAATCTGCCGGCTCTCTAATTTAAGAAAAAAACTAAATAATATTAGAAATATTCATCTGAGACTTAAGACACATTATGAACACACCAAACGTCAACCTATTTGCAAAAAGTAAAAACTTCCAATTTTCATGGGGTGCATTCTCGATCAAAGATAATCTAATCAGCTTGCGTCAGTGTTCAATGAACTTTCCTTATAACTTGCCAACATTTATTTCTTACATAAAAGTTGATACTTAAGTGTTCCCAAATATTATCAACAAATTACGACTAAACGTGTAATTTATTACCAGGCTTCAAGGGTTCAGGAAGGGATGACCTTATCTCCCCTCAGTTCTGCCTGCTGCTAATAGATACACAAAATGTTTAGGCGCAAGTGAAAGTAAATGTATTTGCAATCTTTTTTTTAAGATTTAAAAATTTAGTTTTTACAGTTTTCAAATTATTTTAGGTAATAGATTACTGTGGAACTGATCAAGAATCAACTATTTAACTGTGTAGCCAGTCATGTATCCACGCTCGTGTCGTCTCATCTTTTTTAAACGATTTTTTTTTAGATTTCCACAATAAAGCAGTTGGAACGTATGGTGTAATGATCGTAAATAAGTTGTGTATACACAATCGATCTTTCCCATCTAGAATGGGGCTGAAAGCTTTGTTGAAATATAATGGAGGTAAAGCACCTATTTTGTAATATTTTAATAATTCTTAAAGGCTGTGTTGTTTCATGCTGAATCAAAGATTCAAATTAACTTAATTATTATTTACTAATTTTTTCCTCCTTTATATAGATTTTATCGTACTTTCCTAATCGTGAATAAGTATATCGTCCGCTCATCGCTTTTCATAATTAGAGAATTTAAATGATAATAAACTTGGATTCTCTCATACGCAGCGGTGGCGTGGCGTGCTTTGCGATATACCGATTGATCTGCCATTTAAACCTATGGAAAAGAATCTATACACAGGGTGTTTGCAACGAACACCTTAATTATAGATACTTTTCCACAGCTTCAAATCGAGAAATATCGAAAATCGATCATTCATGCCTCGCCACTGCGCAAACGTCAAGTTTTTCTGGGCTACTCGTCGATTCATTTCTTGATGACGGATACAAGATAAAGCTCTGAAACAAATCTGTTATTGGCTGATCGGGCCTTAAAACTTTGATTGTAAGTATTTTCTACTAACTCTACTCCAATCTCGGTTGGGAGGATGGGGGATGGGGTTGAGATGATGCAATGATGACCCGTCCATTCCTAGGAATTTCAAAATGGGAAGGGGTGTCCATGTTTTCAACTCGGAACTGAATTATATGATAGGAAATAGAACTTTCTGTTTCAACATGGGGGGGATGGGGGTCGTTGTGGAGCATTTCATTAATATGATGATTTCAGAGCACGGTTTTTAGCTGCTTTCGAGGGGACAAAAGTGGTCGTATGGTCTGGAATAACCCATATTTAATCAAATACGTTGAATTTGACTAGTGAAAACAATTCGATTCAGAAAAGTTTGAAATGTTTATTGACAAGTGTAAAGTATTATCAACGCTATTCACATTCAATAGTTTAATTAATTACCTACTTTAATATTTTTACAAATATCAATTCAGGTTTAATATTATTTGTATCAAGTTTTCTGCAATTCCATATTCAAGTAAATAGGTAGTATCCACGATTGATTAAATCTGATTTTGTCAAACCGCTCAAAATGTATGCGATAAATAAAATTATTCACATGTTCGTGTGCACTACATTAGGCGTCGTAATCATAATATATTTAATATATGTTGGGACTGTTCCAATCATTACATACGATACGAGCCTGTAATAGTCATACTCAGAGATTATAGGAACCTTTTAACCGAAGGTTATACAAATAAATAGATGGATATGTCGTAGGCTAATAACAAAATCAGGCATTTTGTAGAATACTAAGGAAAATGTGAATATTTCATGGAGGTTATTCAAGGCTATTTGCGCAAATCTTTTCCTAAATGCCTGAACTTCCTCGGCAAGTAGAATAATGAAATATTAAAGGATCGCTCTTGTCATGCCAATCAATTCAAGCATTTATTTTTTCGGCATTACACTGAAAAAAATAATATGCTGTTTTAGCATCTAGGATGTCAAAAATGTGTCTGGTGAGCCGAAGATGCTGCCTTTACTGCCCTCGCAGTTAACTTTACATCCTGTGAATGCAAATTCAACTGCGTGGGCAATCAAGGTAGCATCTTAGGACCACCAGACACATTTTTGACATCTTAGTTGCTGAAACAGCATGCCATCTTTTTCAGTGTAGTTTATATATTCAACTTTATTTTTTTAGCTTTTTTAAATAAAGCATGATTAAACATTTCAATAGAAAGAAACCATTCACAAAACTGAAATTAAAACAGATATAAACAAAATGTCCCTTTCTAAATAATTTAGATACCTATGTGACTCCTATTATTCAAGCATTTGAAATATCTCGGAAGTTCATACCCTCACCAAAAAACATCTCCAGGAAACATGCAATGATGGCCAAATACCCACTCTCACCAAAATTTTAAACTGACTCTTCCGGACCTTGAGCCTTGGGCTGGGCTCTGGATCCCCTAAACCAGCCTAAACGTATGAGGAATGGGGAAATCATTGCTACGTGTCCGACGGGACAAGTTTCCAATATTGCTTTTTCGTGGTGTTTCCTGATTGAATGCTCGTTTTGTATTATATTTAAATTGTACAAGTCTCCTATCTGCCTAGGTATTTCATATTATGCCATGGCTTTCCCAAAAGATTCCTCGGGGATAGAGTCAATTTCGAATATTTTCACGCTTTTTTTTTATATCATTTTCTTTAACGTCTCGGCGAATGCCTAGGTTTGCCTCCGACATATTCATCTTTTAAAGCTCTGCTGCCTTTAGTGACGCTTCGATACCGAGGTTCCTCTTTTTTCTAAGTTCACGCACTTAGTATCTATTGTTTTTAAGTGACAAATAGCTGCTGGCAGAATAGTAGAATCAACCCTTTCTCTTTAGTGTAAATATTTGAGAGTGTGAAATTCTTCTGCATTACTAAAATCAAGATTAAGATTAAAAACCAAACAAAACTTTGAGGTTGAGGGCCGTGCTCATAGTCATTTTGGAAATAGCTCATTTCCTGAGGAGGCTCCTAACCTCCATGTGCTTTAATTTTTCCTTGAGGGAGGTTTAAGGTAAGCCTCAACATAGAGCTATGAAAAGGGCAAGTTTAACGAATTGAGTAAAATTGAAGAACACAAATCTGAAAATACATCCTTAAAGGAATCATCATTCTTTGCCTCGACAACAAATAAAAAATTCAAGGGAAGCGATTTTGCAGATCTTGAAAATTTTAAAGACGTTTGTCTCTACTTAAAAGGATTTTGAAATCATAGAATGTTTCGTTCCGTATTTTTTACTCGTTTGCAGCGGAAAAGCACTGTTTTTGAAACAACTTTGAATACGACCCAGCGTTTCAGTGAGCCTTATCATCTTTTTTTTTAAAAAAAAAAAAAAAAAAATCATAAAGCAAAAAAACATAGCTTCATAAGTGATCGGTAAGATCAAAAGCCACGCTGAATTTTGGTGCCTAGTCTTTAATAAGTTTGTAGTTTATGTGTAAAGGAAGCAGAAGTATCCTAGAGCTCATTCACTACCCTTCTTTCTATGTTCTGTGTAAGAATCTGTGAAATTATTGAAAGTGAAATTTACAAGATCGATCACTCAGAACTGCTCCTGGAGATCAGCCTGTGGTTCGAAATTTAGGAGCTATCTTTAACACCAAATTCTGCTTTTGATAACGGTAGTGTTACTGAAAGTGATAAATTAAATTGTTAGCTCGTTTTTCTTCTATCCTCGTGATTCTGTAATGACTTATAATCCCTAGCTATAAGACTTTTGTACCAAAATATATTTCTTTACTCGTTGAATATTAAATAACATTTTACATATTGTTGAAAGATAATCGCATAACTCGGTTGAGAATTTACATTTATCAAATTTGTATCATTTATACGAGTAGCTTTTTCATGAAACGTCTTTCCACTCCGTAGTAAATCAGTAAATTCTAATTCTTTAATTTTTTAAAGAAAGTTTAGTTCAGTGACTATAATTGTAAAATAATAAATATCGCCTATTTCAATTCATCTTTAAAGTTTAAATGCAAACTATAACCATTTATTCTATATAATCATTTACATATTTCTGCAAAAATTAAAAAAAATAAAATAAAAAAAAAAAAAACAAAACGTTCTGCTTCAATAGAATTGTAAACCATACTGCGAGCGTGCAGTTTAACTAAAACCATGTAAATTTTTCAATGAAAATGATCACAAGAATTATTAGGTTGTAAAATTAATTTTTTTGATATCAGTAGCATTGAATATAGGTAGAAGAGAAAAATTAAGTCGTTCACTTACAATTTAAAAATTAAGTTACGAGAAGATTAATCAAGAAATTTGTATGTTTTTTTTCTTTTTTAAAAGGAAATCACGCCTTACGTTTAGAATTAAAAATTGAATTACTTCTTTATTTAGATACTGTAATCAACATGTTAGCGTCTAGATGAAAAATTATAACTATTAAAATAAAAGCAATTATTATTTTTGTAATATCGCATTTTTCTTATTTGTACTTGTTTTCCACAAGAAAAATGAGGTCCTGATGTAAAATTAAGAACGAAAGATGAAGCGTTGGGTGCAGGTAGAGCACCTCTCGGTTTTGGTGTTTCACAAACTCCATTGTTACTTTATACTATTTTAGAGAGGAAACTACGGAGTAAATTTTCTGAAATTTTACATTTTCAGCATTGTAAAACCATGAAAAATACCCAGTAAAAGTTACAGCACATTGCATACATTGCTGCACCCAGCGCTTTAGTGACAATACGACGAAAGTCACCACAGCAATAATGAAAGGACACCTGAGCAATTAGCATACATCCTGTCTTGAAAAAAACATGGAAAAAACAGGACGCGTTACATTTCACGGACACAAGTTTGTTTCCTTCTCCCTATTTCTCTCCAGATAGTGCAATTTTTGACACAATTCGTCTTACCTGCCTGAAACGATGCCAAGCCCACGGTGATACCAATGACTATAGTGTGATCTGTGCTACGTTGTGTTGATTTTGTTGGCATCACAAGCTTTGATAATTTTAGGACCGTTTAATATTTTTGAGAGTGTATTACTATTGCGTTGCAGGTAATCAGCAATCGCCGTCAACTCGCAAGCCACTGGTTGTATTCATAAAAGAGCAAAATAAATAAAATAAATAATTATCAAAGAAAAACAGGAGGTTTCAAATGATTTCTCCTTGGGTAGAAATATAGGATTTTCACCTCGTAAATGCATGTTAACAACCGGCACACTCACGTGAGCGTATGGTGAAATCAGTGACATCAGTTAGTTTCGTGTCTTACAGACTACTAAACTGACTACCAACATGAGAAAGCGTTGAGTATCACAAAAAAATGAAGGTGTTCGAAACCGAGATCATTCTTTTGAAGGCCATTACCGACAAAATTAACATTGCCGTTGCGCATTTTTGAAATTCGCAAAACGACACGTAAATTGCACACCGGCGAGGCAATTGCTGTTTGTCCGTAACACACAAGGTGATCTATAATTCTCGCGCATCAACCACCAGTCTCGAGCATCAACCCTTTAACTTTTGATCAAATTAAGATAGAGACTTGAAATTTCTTGAGTGCTCCTTTGATTATAAGAAAATATTTTTGGCAACCCCCCCCCCCCCCNCTTAGAAAATCGCGTTGATAAAAGCTAAGAACTCAAGGGATGATAGAGATAGGACGGGACTTTTAGATCACCCTGTATAGATGGCAAGTTTTCTTGAGTAGTGAGTTATGACGCAAGTGTGTTATGAGAGAGATGGAACCTGGAGTTAATTAGTATGGATGATACAGATCCATGCATAGGTTTGGTAGAATTGGCTCCTGATTATGTTGAATTGTTTTATTGATTGCGGGCGAGGTGTAGCGCCAGTTTGGCGGTGCTAGGCGGACATCGCGTCGTCGTGTCGGCGTCGTCGTCGTCGCGTTAGCAGTGGCGCTGGCGTCTGGGTCCGGGAATCCGCACCTTGCCCTGAAACAGAGGAACACTGGAAACGGAAACTAGCAGCATCGCGTCAGCCGTTGCCGTTTTTCCGGAAAATTTGCCACAGACCGCCCACTCAGCATAAGATCTTAAAGCAATGTTGTTATTTGCTGACATATGTTGACGTAATGTTACTAATATGGATGGAATGTTAAATCAGTATTGTCAGGATAAGACTGACAATATCAACATTGATGTAAGCTTGATAGACTGGCAATCACGGAGATGACAAGAAGTGTCAACCTGATGACAATGTTGACGGGGACATATCAATATTATGTAAGATTATTGGAATGTTACTTCAACCTTACTATCAATGTTGTTGCAATGTTTAGGCAAGTCCCTGGCAGTAGCACATCAACATTGATGCAATCTCACCTCATTCTTACTAAGATGGATATAATATGGCTGCAATGTTGATGTGTAAGATGTGCAATATTATACTAAGATTGTATTAAAGTTTTATGCTGAGTGGGCGGTGTCTAAAGGCTAGAGCATATATGTAGGGAGAGTGCGGAAATATGGGTAATTTTGAGTATAGACTAAGGAGGAAAATGAAGGGCCAACTGAAGGGTCTCTCTTGGGTTGCCGATAGTTAGTCTATCATCAAACTTCTTTGTCCATTGCAACTACCC